GAAATAACAATATAATACACCGATATTGATATCATTGATATATACATATATAGAGGTGGGTACACTCACGAGTCACGCACGACAAAAAGTGTTACCAACACGACGTTTTTAATGTTAAGCATTATGTCTCTGTAAATTGGAAACACTTCTATGTACTTTTAAAACATTTTGTTATTATAATGAAAACATTTATTCGTAAATAATAAAAAATATATATATTTGTGGTCGTGCGTGATTTGTGTGTGTGCCCCACCTCTATCATTCATTATTGTCTCTCATATAAATCGATTTTATTTGTGTTGCCCGCAAGCTCAAAATTGTTGGCAAAAAAACATCGGAAATCACAATTTAAATAAGTAGCTTATGTCATCGTATCATTATTTTGTGTTGACTGAATAATGCGGCGAAATGTGTTTTATATCAAAATGAACTGAAACTCGCGCATGTGACAAGGCAAATAACAATTTCATGATACAATGCAGCTGTTGTTAGCTGGCAAATTAGCCAATTGTTAAATTCTCTGGCACTGCTTAAATGATGCATATTAATTGGCAACAGCTCCTGGAAAACCGCGAGCTGCTGTGAACTTGGCCCTTTGCCTGACTTGTAAAAAGAATTTCATACGAAAGGTTTTTATTTCAACCTGTTCCAGCTTTTGACATTGACGCAACTTGTGACTAGCTGCAAATTATCAAAATATGCTAATTGAGCTTGGCTAGTTTATTGGACAATAATTGAGCTTGGATTTGCTTTAGAATCCCATTGAAGTTGTCTCTCTCTTTGATTATGCATGCACATAAATTAAGGCGAAACTGTAAATTATTTGCCAAATTAGATGGATGGCGACTGGTTGGCCTTTTGCGAGTCGGTTATCTAGATATCGACCAATTTCGATGCTTATTTTTTTTTCTTTTTAGTTACCAATTTCTTTTCAAGGCCTTTAGCTTATGGCATTACCATTCGCAGCTTCTGCTGCAGCCGATTTTTTGTATGAACTGATTTTTATGAACTATTTAACATAATTATTAGCCCATTTAGTTTTCTAGATTAGTAAGCTAACAGTTGTATGTGTTAAAATTCCATGGGTATTGTTTATGGTATCATTTTAGGTTTCCCTAACAATTTAGCACTTGGCAAACCAACAGATTGAATACCCTACCCGGCCTATGACACATTGTAAGCTTTCAAGAGTCCGTTGTTCAATAAGTCCGCTAATTACAAGCGCCTAAGCAGCAGAAAACGGCAAAGAAAAGTTTGGAGAAAGAAAAGTTGCCTTTCACATTTTTGTACAAATTTGTTTGTAGGCGACCAAAAACCGTTGCCCTGCCACGCCAAATGCCGAACTGCAGCAGGTCGGCCCGCCCTTTGTAAGGCACAGTTTAAAGTGAGAATTGTTTGTGCGTTGTTTATAGAATTTTAGCGCTGTTTTTGTTTATTATTATGAAGAACTACGCGTTAGCCATTCACACACGTAAACATTGCGGCGGTGTGGAGTGAGTTTACAGACAAAAATTTATTAATTAAACTCAAAAGCTTGAGAGTAGAAAATGCAAAAGATGTTTACAGAATGGCGCGTTGCGAGACCAGCTGCGAAAATACGATCTATACAGTGTACACACAAAGACAGCCACATCCATAAATACGTATTTACTTTGCGCGAACAAAAAATGCAAAATGCGTAAAAAAAGAAATGCTACGCTGCTCCATTTCAGGGCCATTGGGGGGCGTTTTGTGTGACATGCTCCAAATAAATAAATACAAATGAAAAAAAAAGACGACACAAATCTGTCAAATGCTCAGACAATACACATTTTAAATCTTTCTATATGTAGAGAATATTCTTCACGAATATGAGATACCTTTTTTATTGTGTGTACCTACATGCAAATTTATATTTATAACAGATTTGCCAGAAGAAAAGACAAATTTTAAAAATAATAATCAAAATAATAAACAAAAAAAAGCACACAACTTTCTCGGGTCTCAGGGTCATCGCCATCGTCGGCGTCATAAAATCAAAATAAAATACAACATGAATTAATGAAAATCGCATTTATATTTTGTCACACATCAGCCATTAAAAGAAATCAGAAATCAGCAAACTTTTCAGTTTATTTTTTGGTCTTCTTAAATGCTAACCCAGAGAAAAAACAAACAGAAGACCGAAAACAAAATTGACATTGAAAATAGTTCAGAAATAAATTAAGTGGAAACAAACACCAAAATGCTAATGCAAAGTCACACACAAAACTGAAAACTGAAAACAAATTTTGAGAAAAAGTACACAAGGGCTCTATTTGAGAGTGCTTGACTAGGAGATACCCCGTATTTGATTTCACATACTACATTTAACAGCCTTCTATTGTCTAAACACATCATAAAATTTGTGGGCTTTGCAAATGATTTTAATATTTGGTTTATATATTTGAAATGACAGAGTAAAATGAATTTTGTCAGAGTTAGTTTTACAAGAAACTACATTCTATATTAGAATATGTGAAAGTTATTTAAAAAATGGAATTGCAATAAATTTTTGAATTCTAGTGGGAGGAACTTTATTTATTAGTTAGAAAAAAGAAAAAAGAAAGGGTATATTCTATCTAGCTTATTGGTTTGATAAAGGTTATCTATGATCGAAAGTCTCCCTTATAAAATATGTCACTGCTTATTGCAGAGAGGCAACTAAAAAAGACCCTTTCCTGTTGCCCAATTCTCCCGATTCGGGATTTATATAGTCAGGTGAGCCGATTTCATTAGTTAGTATTACGGATTAAGAAGTTCCAAGATGTGCTCATTGAGCTAGGTCTTTTTAGATTTCGCTGGTAGGCCCAGCCCTAACAATTCCTTATAAATATCGGCGTCTTAATGGGCTCTTGTTTCGTTGTGCTATAGTTATAAGCTATATGTAGGAGCACAGAGGCTCTAAGCAACAACGATGAACACTGCATGTAATTCAAATATACACGTATATCAACTGCTTCTTAAAGACACATACCAAATGTCTTAATACCCTTTAAGCTAACTTTAAGTGGGTATTCAAAAACAAAACGAAAGCACACGTATACATATATTAGCCATCAAGCCATCAAAATTAGCATAATTTTCCATGAAACAAAACTGTTAAAATGTTCAAAGACACCTTTTAAATGGCAACAACAATAACAACAACAACAACAGCAGCAGCAACAACAACAAGAAAAAGTTGTTTAAGTTAAAGTTTAATGACTTTTTGCAGCTTGTTGAAATGCGCCATTGATGACCAGCAACAACAACAACAAAGTCTTCAAAAAATTGATGGAGCGTTTGTCAGTTTCGTTTTCAGGCGCAATCAATTTAAATGCTACAATATTTCATAATTTTATAATTTATGTGACTCGGGCCAAAATTAATAATAATATATATATATATGTTGAATTCACGAAATTTCCAAAAATTTGTTCAAATTGATATACTCAACGGCAATGGAAGCACTTTTCTGCGTTTGGCCTTTTCTTAAACTTATCACCAAGGGGCACAAGTTATGAAAGTCTCGACAATGATTTGTGAGCGTTTACAGATTAGACAGCTATAATAATATAATAATAATAAATAATAAGGGCATATATCACAGATAAATATCGAATTTATATAATCAATGGTAATTTTTAATCGAATTGCTACGTAACTAAAACTATCGCGAGGCAGCAACGAACTGTCGATAGCTGCCGATAGTAATTGAACAGTTTGATTGAATATATGTGTTTATAAAGAAATTATAATTCATATAAAATCTAATTACAAAGCAAGAACATATATTTTCCTTAAATTATTCCATACTTACCCCAGTAAGAAGATGTGCAAGCATAAGTTGAAAGTCGAACGTCTAACCATAAAATCCAGATAAAAATGATGAATATTTCTTAAATTATTCAACAGTTGCACGAGTTTCAGCCAAAGAGATCTAAATCTGAAAGTTAATCTGAGCTTATGCTAAGCCCATTTCATAGACTTCACGTAACTGTGTCATGGTTAGTTCAACTAAATAACCGTAGAATTTTCACGAACATAAATTTTTTACACACTTAGGTGTGAACATTCTCTTAAAGACTTTTGCGCTCATTTTCTAGAAGAAGAAAAAAATAGAAAATGTTATGCACTGAGAAAATCTTGAGAAAAAGATACTTGCAAGTAGAATGACAATTAGTCACACCTACTAAATGGACAGTAATTAGCGAATTTTTGTGTCATTTGGGGCAACAAATTTATTTAGTTTTTTTTTCATTAATATTGTTAGGGTTGGGCTGTACAGTTATAAGAATCATTAAAATATATACTATATCTCTGTTTTTTTTTTCTCTCAATGCTGTTTCTTCCACTTTTGGACACTTAAAGTTAATTTCTCACATTGTTATTTTATTTTATATTAAAATCAACTTGTTTTCTTTTTATTTTTGTTAATGCTTGCCTAGAAGTTGTGGCTTTGGGTTCAGCTTTATTGTTTTTAAATGATTATTGAATGTCGTTAGCGGTAATCGTTTTATGGGTCACACAAGAATTTTATTGCCCCAGTCCTTTTGCCCAACCCAGTCAGAGGTAGGCCCCCTACGACTCATATACCCTTCGGAAAAGTAGTTTTTTATATGCACTTCTTAAAATGTAAGCTGTAAATTTATGAGCAGCTCAGGTTGAGCTGCTGTTTTTGTGTTAAATATGAAATCAATAGCTTCGGGTTTAACTTTTAATGACTTTCCAAATGGTGCGCGAACGTTTAAAGAAGCTCCACAAGTCATCGAATCGGAAAATATATACGATTTCATAAAATTTATGAGCTGCTTGATGTGAGCTTTAATTAGTTGTGCATATGAAGAAGATTTGACAGGTTCAGGTTAAGCTATTTTTATCATAATTAATTAATGTTTAAATCATATTTTATATAGAAATTTTTTCTAGTTTGTTTTTATTTTTTAATTATTTACGAATTGTATCTCATAAAAGGTATTCTCTATTTCTTGTACTTGCAGAACCCAACGAATACTGCAACAAGCCTCCTTAATCCCCCGCCACTCATCTAGACAATTTTAGAAGGTAAACTATCAGATGCAATTACAATAGAAATAAAAAAAAACAAGAGAGAAAGAAAATCACGCTTGTGGCAGTCATAAAGAAAAACTTGTACCAAGGGTCGTTAATCAAAAGGCATATCAGAAATAAAACGCACAGTTAAGCGTCTCACACATGGCGCATTGCATCATTAACGTAGTGCCCATGAGATTGGATAGGATAGGAGAGGTGTCTATGCAGATACCTGCCTGACAGATACACACACACACACACACACACACACACACACACACATACACACACACTGTATCTACACACAAGTGAAACGGCGTCAAATTGCATTTAAATTGAATGAAATTAATTTGACATGCAAGTTGTGTTGAGTCGACTCTCTGACTTGTCTGTCTGTCTGCCCGATTGTTGTAGCTTTCAACAAAGCGTTATAGTTACACGTGTACAGATACAGATACAGATGCAGCTGCAGCTACAGATACGCACAGATACAAGCTGCATCTGTAAGATGAAAGCAGTGCCTGCTCTTGTGCACATGTCGAGCAAAAATCAAAATGACAGCCGCAGTCGGGAGAAGCCCAGCACCGGGACCAAGGCGCGCACAATTTCTAAATGCATCCGATAGATACAATAGTATCTGTAGATAGTGTGTGCGTGTGTGTATGTGTGTGTATTTGTGGTGTTGGTTTGATTAAAAATAGCCCCAGAAATGATCTATGCCTAGCTGCCGGGGCTGCTGCCTGCGACTAGCTCTACGTGCTTATATGAAATATGTTTCATCAATGCTCGGCAACAGTTTTCCCCGGTGCATTGGCAATCGCGTAGGCGTCGCTATTTGCCATCTCTGTCTGATTTTCTTTTCCTTTCCTTTCCTTTTTTTTTTTGCATTTGATTTACTTCATTTATAACACTTTTCTGCAAGCTTTTTCTTGCCTCGGCTCGGCAGCTGCTGCTGCTAGTTTTGATTTTCCGTTAGTCTTCTACTCGTAATTCTTAATAAATAAAAAGGCGTTTGGCGCCCCCAGTTCTTTGGGTTTTGTTAGCCAACAATCGCATCTATTAGATATGTATCTCTGCAATGTCTAGCACAGAGTTTGCGCTGCAAATGAATGATTGCTTTTCATTATTAATTTTGTTATTGGCCTTTTGTTTTTGTGTTTGCCTCGTGCTTTCTAGTCGCCTTTGATCTGGTTTGTGGGATGGTCTATATATAATGTTGGATTTTGACATTACGTGGGGGGAACGTTCTAATGCATTACTATGCCAACTGACATATGCTGATTAAGTCAAAGGCTGCCAACAACATGATCTATTACCACATCTACATAAACTCAATTTTATTTTGATCTCTGGGACAGTTCACCTTGGAATCATTAAATGCAGTTCTGTAAAAATTTCCCCCACGATCTGTATATTTATTGACTGATTAGTAACCAATACATGACCTCCTTATGATATGTGACGGTGCTTTGGAAAATTATACTGATGTATGTATGTATGAGTATTTGTGTAAAATTGTTGTAAGCAAAATTTTGTTACCTTATCGCCTTCAAACTTATTATCAAAGGCCTGTCTAGAACAGATCGTTTTTGATTCGAAAATCCACGCGCACGTATGAAAAATGGGTGAAATTTCGAAATTATGCTACATAATTCAAGCTATTAGAGATGAGCACGAGCTTCAATTGCAACATGCACATGAAAATTCTAAAATATTTGCACCCGATTTTTGTCAGATCTAATTAATTGTTCATATAACAAAAGCTAGATTTAATGCCGTAACTATGCGCTGTCTCAATCGTATTTAAACCCTATCTGTTAGCTACAACTACAGCAAAAAGGTCAGGTTGCGTGTAACGAGCGCCTCTCTCGTCGCTTCTCAGCATATGCAAATGCCAGGCAGCAAATACTATGTATTCAGCGAAGCATGCAAGTTGCCAGTGCATTCATGCAGCCGCCTGCCCTTAACTTCTCTCGCTCAAGCTTCTTCTCTTGGGTCGGGTGGTTCGCTGTCCTTCTCCGACGTTTATTCACACGCATAACGCCCAAAATGGCAAACGAAGTCAACTTGCAACATTCGCATGACAACAGCGCCATCTAGCGGCATGTGAACAGACGTTGGGGGCTATTGTATTGTAAGTCTTATCTGTTGTACCTGAGTCGATGCCATATATATGACGTATGTGTGTGTGTATATGCGTATATGTTTGTGTATAGTTATACCCTGCTCACAGAGTTTAAACAGGTATATTGGTTCTGTGCTACCGCTGTCCACCCTCTAAACACAGTTTATTTCGCCTACATTGAGTGTAAGTGATAAAATTGCGAATATTCTTTTTTTTATTTATAATAATAATATATTTTTAAAAAATTTAGTATTTTATACAATTATTTTAAGAATTATATTCTTTTTAATATGTTTATATTAAATTGTAATAAAAATTTTCTATATATATATAAAATAATAAACTATTTAAAGTTTTTGTCCACACCCAATAAGGCCTGGAATTCCACGAAAATCGAGATATTCCCACACTTTTAGAGCTGGAATCCAAAGATTCGGTAGCTAGACTTTTAATGATCGAGCCGTATTTCGATATTTTAAAGTTACAGTTTGAAAGTAACTGCTTTGAAGTTTTGATTAATCAATATAAAGAAGACTCTTCGCAACGTACTAACTCGTTTTTGTTTTTTATAAGTGTTCATCTCTAATCATTTTTGCTGCCGTTGTGTTCGCGTAATCAGGGTGTAACAATTACGCGTTTTGAAATTGCGGTCTGCTAGATGCGAGTAGACCAGCCAGATGCCCAGAGAGATATGCGCGGCAGCCGTTCAGGCAGACAGTCAGGCAGTCAGGCAGTCAGCTCTATAGATCGGGTCTCTGGGGTCTCTCTTGCTTGCTGGCTTTGCCGCGCCCCGTCACGTCTTGCATGTTAGTTGTTCTCATTTGAGCCCGTCTCGAGGGGGTGGACGGTCGGGCGGGTGGCGGTATGCGAGAAGCGAATATATGTATATGCGAAATAATTTTGAAATTATAGACAAATCCGTCAACAGCAGCTCTCTCAAATCTGTGGCCTTTGTGTAGATTCTTAACTAATTTTACAATTTTTGTGGTTGCGCTTTGCATTTGATTACTATTTTATGCCATGCTTAATTAAACGCCATAAACTTGGCTTATTCGGTTCCAGCGCATTCTATAGGCCATAATATTTATGATTTCACATGCAATTTGAGCCAACAATAAGCCAAATATTCAATTTTTTAGAATGTTCAATCGCTAAATAATGAGCGCTCTTAAGGTGGGTGTGCCACCCGCCCGTCCACCGAAAAAAAATGTACTATTAGTTTTACGGCAAGCCAAAAAAAAAAAAAAAAAACCAAAAAACAATTTGAACAAAATAACGTGTAACATATACTTACAAGATAAATGAACAAATGGCATTTGCGACGTGTTTGTGGTAGGCAAATTGTTTACTATTAAACAAATTGCTACAAAATGCGCATATTTTCCGAAAGGAGCTGCCAGGGTTGTTGGCCTTATGCAATCGATAAAGCATATATCGAATGTTAAGCTGCAGTCAAGCATATGTAACGGTAAACACGTTTTCAGAGTTTTTTTTATAATTTATTTTATTTAAGATGTATTCCAATAAATAAAGAATTAAATAGCTAAAGATTTAAATATTTAAATAAAAAATATTCAGATATATGTATAAAAATTAGTCATATAATGATGGCATATATTTATTACAGTCAGTTATTATTCACGACTATTCTATTCTATTCTATTCTTTTCTATTGTAGTCAACATAATATCCTTGAAGTTATTACTTCTTTATTTTATAACAAATTTGTTCTTCTTTTTGGGAATGGTTCATGAAAATGTTAATTATATTTGACAGCAACTTGTTCTGTATGGTATTTTATTCAAGAGAAATCTTATGCTTTGCCAAATTTGGTTCAGTATTCTGTTCCTTGTTTGATATGGGCTGCCATTTTAGATTTTATAGAGGAAATCCGCCCCTGTTTGCTTAGCCATGTAAAACGAACGATATTAAATCAATTGCTTATCGAGACATTCGCAAACGCAACTCTTTCGAAAATATCGCCCCACAAAGAGCAAAACGAACAAAAATTGTTCCACTTCACTTGTGAAATACAGAACAACAACAACAATAACAACAACGAGTAGGCAGCACAAACAACAAATTAACACAAAAGCAACAACAACGGCAACAACAAAGTAGGGGAAATAATTTTGCGCGATCATTGTGCTGAATCTACCCAATGAATTCTATTTGTGGGTGAATATCTATCTCTATGTGTGTTTGTATGTGTGAGCTTTGGCTTAGATCAGTACAGCAACAACAACAAGAGCAGGGTCGAGTAATTCAAACGAAATTGAAATGAAGTATTGATTGCAATTGGAACTGCGCAGACACACACACACACACAAAAACACACACACACGCTCACATAGAGCTGCCATGCAAATTGAGCAACGACTATAAATTATGGGCGATATGGCAACGCCATGCGCGATGCGCACCAGCGAAGCTGCCCATTAAAGTGGCCAACAAATCGACGGCAAATGAATGGCAAAAGTAACTGGAAATCGCGGCAAATTAACTAAATCAGCAGTTGCAAATGGCTAGAGGAAAAGCGTAAGAGCGAATGAGAGCGAGAGCGAGATCGCGAGCGCACAGTTTGACAATAACTGGGACAGAATTGTGTGCGCGTTCGTCATGCTTTATTTTTGTATGCAAATTGTTTTTGCTACAGCTTTTGTTTTGCTTTTGGTCTGCCCCGCTGCCTGCCGCTTCGTCTCTGTATTAACAAAACGTATTATTCCTCACCATCTTCGTCATCTTCTATGTTTGTATTCTCTTTTGTCTCTGTCTCTGTCTTTGTGTGTGCTATCTCTATTGGCTGGCCTTCGCCCATGTGTCACGGTTTCGCAAGCATTGGCTTTGAAAAGCGTCCCATCAGAGCAGACATTCTCTTCCATTGTT